ACCCCTTGCACCCTGCAGAAAGCTAAGATGGACTCCTCTTCCAGGAAGAGGTTCTCGCTCGCTGTTTACTGTCTACCATTCATGTCATTACCAAAAAAGGAAATTTTTTACGAATTGAAAAGTTGTGGGAAAGAGTTTTTTTTTTTTGTTATAGTTATTATTTAGTTATATTTAATATATTAATATTACTTTTAAAATTTTTAGTAAGTATTAAAATTGTAACCTTTCTATTATAATATAGTAATATAGCAATTATCTAATAGATATTATAATAATTATCTGAATAGCAAAAACCCATCTGCATATTTGAAAATACAAATTGGACTGTACTTTATCTTAATCAATCTTAAAATATTAATTCTCTTTCTATTGCTGATGATTTAGTAAAAAGCTTTGAAGAAGAATATCATATTGATACTAATATATGGTTATCCTTATAGTTACTTAATACTTTCACAGTACATAGAAGTTATACCTTGCTTGATATTTATATCTCTAAATTTGACAGCCAAAGTCAACTTGGTTATCAGCAATATGAAGTGTCTACTAGAAAAGTAAGGACTTATTCTTAAGAAGTCATGTCCTACTTAGTTATATGACTCTTGGATTTGGTAGCTGCATTACTAATCAATGGATCAAAGCCAAGAACATTTATTATAAAGTGCACATATGTATCAAGGCCCTTTAAAACCATAGCTATATAAGCATGAGATGAAATATAATAAGTAAGTTACATAAAAAAGTTAGTGATCAGCTACCCATTGTTTTCATAAAGAAATTGAATCCATAGATATAATGGTTTAAAACTAGTAATAGGATTTTCACCCCCTAAATAGATTCACCAAACATGTGTGTTTCATTTAAAGAGTGTGAAGTACATTGCTAAGCATAACAAGTAAATAGGCTAGCATTTAGTTATAATTATATATAGAGGATATTTGATATATTACAAAAATTGTAAATATTCTAAGAATATACAATAAAAACCTGCATCTAATGCCATTCTACAATAAAAAAAAAAAAAACAATAGGTCTTTAAGATAAATTTGTTAAAAGTTTTTCATTAGATTTTTCAGGAATAGAACTTTAGCACAGCAGCCTCTATGCTTTGAACAGATATGAATCATGTCAAGCCAAAATGGATTTTGAATTAATATAATCCTTTGATTATTTTAGATAATAGATAGAAATTTCAATGCATTGAATCTTTATATATTGTGAGCATTAAAAGATAAGACCCTGTGAATTAAGTTTAAAAAAATTTAGATTATAAAATTCCAATTTTCACAAACCGTTCAACAAATAGAGATTTCCTTGATTCAACTTAAATAAAAAAAAATTATTGATGTTTTTTTATTTAAAATCAAAATAAATTACAGATATAATGCGAAATATTTTATTATAAGTAGTTAACGAAATTTTGAATCAGATTTTATACAAATCAATGCCTCTAATACTGCTACATGAGTAATAACGGATGGGAAACTTTGATGAGATCCGTAATTGAATAAAAAAGTGCACTTGTATACAAAGTAAAAGAAACAGAAAATAAAGTTTTGCCATATCCCTAATAACGAAAAAACCAAATGATTTTGTATTCTAATACAAGTTACGAATCTATAAAGTTTAATATTAAATTCATAATAAAAAAAAATGATATATATGTAATATATAGTCCAATAATATAAAATAGTTGTAAAATTCATGTGCTCATTAAACGTAATTCATATCCTGATTAAAAGAAAAAATTGGTTTCGGTGAGATAATTAATCACAACATCTTTTCGCCGTGCATAAGTTTACGCACCTGCAAAGCCTTACGTTTCTCAGGATCAATCTGATTCCATAGCGACGCTTTGATCTCATCAGGAAGACCACTAAGTATAGCTTTCATTGCGGTCGCCATTCTTGAAGCTACAAATTCTGGTAGAATGCCAAGGGCAAGGACCTCGACAAAAATTGTTATGATTCGAGGTAGGTTTTCATTGTTGTTACCGAGAACGGCAGGATGTTGACTAAAGATATAAAGATGAGTTTTGTAAAAGGATACTGAATTAAAAGTAAAGCTAAAAAGTCAGACTCACCTTTCTAATAAATCCAGTAAATATGTATACGTAAGAGATGCTTCCTCTTCGTCATTAAGAATAGGTAGAGTAGAAAACCATGCTGGCAAAACTGAGTTAACATCGAATTTACTATTGTTGAACTTTAGAATTTTGGTTATAGCCGAAATAGCATTCTCTGTTGCGTATACATTTTCATCTTTTCGTGAACCTTCGGAACTTATTGCTTGGAACAAGGGAGTCAATGCAGCTATAAGGGGATGTGATAAAACAATTTAATTCCAGATAATAAGAATTTCCATTTAAAAAAGAAGTCATATTCCATACACGCAACGGCATCCGAATAATTTTCACCGCCAAATTGAGCGCACACACCAATCCCATATGCGGCTGCTTGTCTAACATCCGAAGCTAAAACATAAATAGAAAATTTTAAATTCATAAACACGATAAATAAATAGTCAAACAGTTAAACGAACCTATGTCCATTAAAGAAGCGATCATTTTTTCTAAGAAATGGGAATGATAATTCCACGATGCAGGACCTGTAAACTCTACCACATCATCAATGACGCATAAAGCCCACTGCCGAGCAGCAGGATTAGCATCGGCTAAAAACGTTGTGACAATTGGTAATAACTTGTCAAATGAAGGAAGGTACGATGTTCTGTGAGTTTTGAGGATTACGTGTAAAGCCTTTGATAGTTCACCCAGGACACCCTCTTCAGTTGCCTCCTCTTCATTTATAATATCCTCATCTTCGGCATCGATGTCTCCACTGTGTCGAGCTTGCTCACGTTGTTTTAACCTGGAATAAAATTCCTGTAGTTGATCCTCCGTAGCCTTCGTAAAAGCTTCTAGATGAGGGACTTCAAGGCTATTATCACCAACAATTTCCAATGATTCATGGAAAGTAACGTAAAGCTGCCATAAAAAGCCGGGATCAGCTTCACTTATAATAACTTCAGTTATTTTCTTTGCTATCGAATGCCACATATTTATAAGATAGTCTCGACTGGCGTTGGCTTTTTTTGCTGCATTTAGAAGGTGCGGAATGGTTGCAGCCGCGGCGTTTCGTACTCCATCGTGAAAATAAAACTTTAAGAGAGGTAGTACAATTTCCAAAACATTTTCGACGTAAGGTTGGAAGGCGGGTCCGAGCTCCCGAGCATAGCAAATGAGCATCTCCACAGCTGTACACTTTTCCTCCATGACAGTTGTTTTTATTCCAATTTGCTGAAGGTCGCATAAAAAACTTCTAATTATACAATAACAATAGCATACATGCCGGAAAAAAATAATATGATATTCGTTACCTGTCCATCCACGCCCACAAATTCCCATCCGTCCTCGGGTGAATATTTTGATTCAATATCGTCATTGGCTATAGAATTTTATTAAATTCATCATCTCAATATAAAAGACTAAGTATAAGCAAAAGAAAAAGGTACTAACAATCCAAAATCGCGAAATCTGGTTTAAGTTGGGCGGATTGTAAAAGAGGAGGCATTATTATTGGGAGATACGGCACAAAGTCGGCGCCAAGTACTTTACATATTCTTGCCCAAGATGCAATAAGATAGGAAATTTGAGGATCATCTGATTCTGTGACTGATTCTAATAATTAATATACAAACATTAGATTTCTTGTCGACATACATCGATAAAAAACAATTTAATACTTGCGTTGAGTCTGAACCAATAATTGAATGAACTCCTCGGCATTAGAGGCAAAAATTTCTTTTCCAACAGCCAGGGCTATTCGAATGGAAAATTAGTTATCTTTTTAAAAATGTATGTTACGGTTGAATTTTTTTTTTAAAAAAAAATACCGATAAGGCTTGCACATTCCATTGCTTTGCCGCGTAAAAGGCGATATTCTTTTTGATGGGCATTTCTCAATACGTTTATTAGCAAAGGCATTATTGCGCTATAATACTATGCAGAATTTAGGAAAGTTAAGTAGATAGCGACTAGATATTTAGATGAATAAAATAATTATCACCTTAACAAATCGATCTTCTGCACTATCTGCAACAATAGCTATCGAAGTTATTGCCTGTTCCTGAACATATGTTCTCCCAGAATTTAAGAGGACAAGAAGTTTTTCAAAAATAGTATCCAAATAAGGCTCAAGAATTGATTTATCCGCTGCTTCGCAAAAATTGACTAGAGCAGCAGCAGCATGAGCCTGAACCCTAAAACCAGAAAACATTGTAATGCCTACTTCCCTAAATATCTCAAAAATCAATGAATATACCTTGGTTCGGGACTTCCCATAACAGGAATTAAATTTGTAAGCACAGGATGATGAAATTTTCTTTGAAGAGAATCCTGAAAATCTGTAGACATTTGACCAACAGCATTGCATGCGGCGTACCTAACCCTGGGATGAGGGTCCCTCAGAAACGGTAAAACTAGACTTTACGAAAGAGAAAAATATGAGTGAATACTTGCCGAATAACAGTGCTAAATATTTTGGATTATAACCACATACTCAATTATCTTTCCTAGCTCAGATTCCATGATTTTAACACAACCTTCGCCTATAGCTGAGATTGCCATAAGAGCGGCATGACGCTCTTCCCATTTCGGAGAGCCCAACATGACGGGGATATAATTGAAAGCAATGGGAAGCACCGCCTTTCCACCTATATTATAAGAAATCATAGGAGTTAAAAGATTTTGTTGAGATAAATTTAACATGAAGCGCTTTAGCACAAATATGATGTCTCTACATTACCAAGATTCCGAGCCAATCTATCCATAGCATGTTCACCAATAACATAATTTTCGTCATTATCGTCATCTTCCAACTAACAGATAAGGCGTTATAATGTTTTTAACGTCAATTATCAAGCGAAGTCAGCAACATTAATTATAAACCGGGAGATATTCACATCATCCGTTGTGTACCACTCTTCTGTATCGTCTAATTCAGTCATCATCTTTAAGGATATGGGAATGATTTGCGAACAAAAATCAGGAACTTTGCGCATCATCGATGGAGAAGTCTCGGATAAGGTGAGCAAAAGTTCAAGTGCTGTTTGGCGAGTGCCATCTTCGAATGATTCGTCCTTAATAATGCTAATAGCAAAAGGCATTAATATAGGGAGAACCGGTCTAAATACTCGAGGAAGATTTTCTCCCAGCTCTATGAACACCATAATGCCGTCAACCAAGCCATCCTCATCGCGTTGGGACACTAGTGGAGATAAAACCTTGAGTGCGAATCAAGCATTGAATGATTATTCAAAAAAAAAAAATTGATAAAAAAAAAAGTCTTAAAAAACTATGCCCTTAGGTAGATCAAAATTTAAAATATAAAATATTTAAACTGTTTTTGATGCTGCATACCGCGAGCATTTGCGGCATCAGTTCAGTAAAAGAGTTTCGACTTTGCTGATCTGTTTCCAGCATGAAAGCAACTGCAGCTTTAAGAGAAGCCATCCGAATCTAACATTAAAATAGTAGTTAGAAATTTTATGTGTGTGAAAATAAAAATACGAGTAGCTAAACATACATCTGCATTATCAGCGTCCTGTAAATTTGCAGAAAAAATTTGTTTTATAACATCTACTGACTGATCCGTTATTAAATTGGGGACAGCGGAAAATATTCGTAGGGCCGCTTCCCGATGTTCGGCAGAAGGAGATTTGCTGGCCTCAAAAAGAGCCGGGAGGAGTTCGACCCACTTTTCTAGAATAAAGAGAGCGTATATATGGTTTCTAATCTCGACCAAAAAATATATTACGTGGATCGCCTAGATAATTCAAAGACACTTACGCCCTTTTAAATGGGAATTTTTGACTACTTCTGATACAGCATCGCATACTTTGTGACGTACTGTATTCTCGCGTTCCACCGACAAAGACATTAATAATTCATTTTTGATCGCTTGTCTACTTTGCTCCTGTAAATAATCCCATATGGAAACTTCTTCTCCTTTAGCTGTTTGATTTGGTGCTTGTTTAAATGCAATTCTCCGAAGTAATACAAAAGAGAATGAACGTCCCTATATTCCAACACCAATTGCCGTTATAAAAACGCGTAACATAATTTCTCAAAGTCATTTTTAAGATTTTTGAAATGATTCTCACGTGTGTTTCTTGGTGAGATCTTCCGAGCTGTGATAATGAGAGAAGTAATAAGTCAGGTTGTTGTGCGATCCACTGTTCGTTCAATTGCTTTTCGGCTTTAGAACGAAGATCGTTGTCATTAGAAATCAAATCTGATAAAACTTGATTCAGTTGAGTGACAATTGCGGGCGAAACTAAGGAGGATGCGGTTGTCATTTTTCCGAAAAAGCTACAGCCTGGCTTGGTAGAAAGAAAATATCAAAAAAGGCGTTCAAAGATCAAAGGAAAAGAGAGAGGAGAGAAACAATACTCGGTATTTAGGCGTACTTTATGCAAGCCTTTTATTTCAGAAACTGACTCGGGAACTAAGAAGGTAAACAGCACCAAGTTTATTTTTGAAGTTCAGGCGAGCCGTAGATAACACAAGAAAAAAATTTTCTGTGACGTCATCATTATCCTGTGATTGGATTAGAAATTTTATATATAGTAAGGACCCAGATACAAATGCAAGTTTTCGCAAATATTGTTTTATGGTTCATAAATAAAAGGAGATCGCAAGTTTGTTTGATGCCTTAACAAACCCTGAATTGCACTAATTGCACTACACTTTGGATTCACCTGGATTACGGCGAATTTGATCTTGGTATATAGAGTCAACCGATACTTGCGGGCTCTGAGTAACATAGTAACCATGTGCATTTATATACGCATCTCGCGTTTTATCTCAAGCAATAAAAAATAAAAAATTTTTAATTTTTTATATTTATTTAATCATTGGAGTTGAAAACATACTAGTACAAGACTTTTAAAAAATTTAAAAATATACATGTTTTTTTTTTTTTTTTTAATCCTGCAATCAGGTTGGTGTCATTTATTTATTTAATCATAAAGAACCATTACAAGTTG